TTTTTTTAATAAATAGTACATATGTGTGTGTGTGCATGCATATATATATATATAAGAAAAAAGAAAAGAAAATATGGGTACAGTGTAATGAAGTTGACATATCAATGGAAGATTGTGGTGAAGATAAAACCAGGCGGGCCCCAAGATATGGCCTCTTCCTTCTCTTCTCTTCTCTTCCCTTCCGTCTATCTCATCTAATCCTTTTCTTTCTTTCTCTGCAAAATCCTTTACACCACTTTCACCCACCATCACACTTTAAATTTTCTCTCTCTCTCGAGACTTTCTTTTTATTATGCCAAAAAGTATTCATGAACATAAATAATTATTAGTATAGTCTAAAAATAAATTTAAATTATAATCAACACACTTATATGCTCTAAAAAATAACCAATCACTTTCATATTTAATAATTTAAATAATAATATTGTTATCAATATGTGTAGAATAAAACGACAAATGGATAAAAATAATAATGTTGGTGGTGTAGAGGGCGAGATAAGGATGGAGGAGGGTTCGCCTCCCCTTTGCCGACAGCAGCCTTTCTGGGTCCAACTCACTCAACTTGCGTCACCACCTTCACGCGTTCTCTGATATTTCAATCCCACCGTACGCGTGTCACTTAATCTACCAAAACCTATCTTCTTACCCTGCTGTCAGCTTGATTTACGATGTCTTTGTACCTTTTTACCAACCGTACACGTGTCCAATTTACTCACAAATTACATTTTCTTTTTTTTTTTTTTTTTTACTTTTACTTTTCAATTGTATTATAAATTTTTAAATTTTTTTTTTTAAAAAAAGGCCATAAATTTAAATTTTGAAATAATTAAAAAGAACTAAGTGCATGGCGTGTCAACCAACAGCTCGAAAACTTTCTTTTCCCTCTTTATTTTTGTAATGTGTTAAATGTGTTTAAATTTAAATTTTAAAGTTTTTGTAATTAAATAAGAATAAATAAAGGAATTTTCAATTTTATTGGCTCGTCTGGCGCTTAGCGGTGGTGGGGGAGTTGCATGCATGTGTTAAATGTTTGACAGTTAATTGTGGGCTCTTATTCTCATCATTTGAATTTTGGGAACCCCTGTTTAGCTTTTTTTGTCGCCCTAAATATCTTTTTTTTTTTTTTTTTATTATTTTATTAATTGAGATTATGTATAAAATTATATTATAAAAATATGTGTTTAAACGAAAGAGCATGATGAATTCATTCTGAGATGACACGTGGGTATTGGGGGTGGTGATGGAAAGTAAGCATAACCCCTGGGTTTTGACCGGGATCTTCTTTCAAAGCTTATTTAATTAGAATAATTACTAGTTAACTAATGGTAATAATAATAATAATAATCTAAAAATTGCTGAAGAAACGTAATAATTAGAGTTAGGAAAGAATAGGTATTACCAAGTAGAGGGTCATGATGGTCACGTGATAAGTCTCCGTTTGATCTTTTCAAGATTTAAATTTTTGGGTAATTATATCTCATTTAATACTACACCTCCATATGCCCTGCTGACTCATCCACGATACATCACTTC